CTACAGTCCACCGCTCTACCAACTGAGCTATCGAAGGGTGGAAATCAGCAAATCAATGTTTCGTAATTTGTGAAAAATTATGTGATATAAAAACATCCTCCGAGCCGGATTTGAATCAGCGACCTATGGATGTCGGCAATTTACATACTACAGTCCACCGCTCTACCAACTGAGCTATCAAAGGGTAGAAATTACCAAATCAATGTTTCGTAATATGTAAAAAATTATGTGATATCAAAAACATAATCCTTCGAGCCGGATTTGAACCAGCGACCTATGGATGTCGGCAATTTACATACTACAGTCCACCGCTCTACCAACTGAGCTATCGAAGGGTAGAAATTACAAAATCAATGTTTCGTAATACGTAAAAAATTATGTGATATTAAAAACATAATCCTTCGAGCCGGATTCGAACCAGCGACCTATGGATGTCGGCACTCTACATACTACAGTCCACCGCTCTACCAACTGAGCTATCAAAGGGTTGATCTTACCAAATCAATGTTTCGCAATATGTAAAAAATTATGTGATATTAAAAAAAGTAGTTCTTCGAGCTCGATTTGAACCAGCGACCTACGGATGTCGGCACTCTACATACTACAGTCCACCGCTCTACCAACTGAGCTATCGAAGGTTGATATTACCAAATCAATGTTTTGTAATATATAAAAAATTATGTGATATTAAAAATATAAACCTACGAGCCGGATTTGAACCAGCGACCTATGGATTTCGGCACTCTACATACTACAGTCGACCACTCTACCAACTGAGCTATCAAACGTTTCAATTAACGAATCAATGATTCGTAATATGTAAAAAATTATGTGATATTAAATACATAATCCTTGGAGCCGGATTTGAACCAGCGACCTATGGATGTCGGCACTCTACCCGGATTTGAACCATCGACCTGTGGATGTCAGCACTCTACATACTACAGTCCTCCGCTCCACCAACTGAGCTACAGAAGTGTTGAAATCTGCAAATCAATGTTTCGTAATATGTAAAAAATTATGTGATATTAAAAACATAATCCTTCGAGCCGAATTTGAACCAGCGACTTATGGATGTCGGCATTCAACATACTACAGTCCACCGCTCCACCAACTGAGCTATCGAAGGGTTGAAATTAGCAAATCAATGTTTCGTAATATGTAAAAAATTATGTGATATTAGAAACAAAATCCTTCGAGTCAGATTTGAACCAGCGACCTATGGATGTCGGCAATCTACATACTAAAGTCCACCGCTCTACTAACTGACCTATCGAAGGGATGAAGTTACCAAATCAATGTTTCGTAATATTTAAAAAATTATGTGATATTAAAAATACAATCTGCGAGCCGGTTTTGAACCAGCGACTTATGGATGTCAGCCTCACACACTGTACAGTTCACCGCTTTACCAACTGAGCTATCGAATGGTTTAATGCACACGCAGAAGAAAATGTTTTGTACTCTGTAAAAAATTATGTGATATTAAAAATAAAATCCTTCGAGCCGAATTTGAACCACCAACCTATGGATGTCGGCACTCTACATACTACAGTCCACCGCTCTACAAACTGAGCTATCGAAGGGCAGAAATTACCAAATCAATGTTTCGTTGAACCAGCGACCTATGGATGTCGGCACTCTAGATACTACAGTCCACCACTCTACCAACTGAGCTATCGAAGGGTGGAAATCAGCAAATCAATGTTTCGTAATTTGTGAAAAATTATGTGATATTAAAAATATAATCCTTCGAGCCGGATTTGAACCAGCGACCTATGGATGTCGGCAATCTACATACTACAGTCCACCGCTCTACCAACTGAGTTATCGAAGGGTAGAAATTACCAAATCAATGTTTCGTAATATGTAAAAAATTATGTGATATTAAAAACATAATCCTTCGAGCCGGATTTGAACCAGCGACCTATGGATGTCGGCAATTTACATACTACAGTCCACCGCTCTACCAACTGAGCTATCGAAGGGTAGAAATTACAAAATCAATGTTTCGTAATATGTAAAAAATTATGTGATATTAAAAACATAATCCTTCGAGCCGGATTTGAACCAGCGACCTATGGATGTCGGCACTCTACATACTACAGTCCACCGCTCTACCAACTGAGCTATCGAAGGGTTGATCTTACCAAATCAATGTTTCGTAATGTGTAAAAAATTATGTGATATTAAAAACACAATCCTTCGAGGCGGATTTGAACCATAACCTATGAAAGACGGCACTCAGTCCTCCGCTCTACCAACTGAGCTATCGAAGGGTTGATATTACGAAATCAATGGTAATGTTTCGTAATATGTAAAAAATTGTGTAATATTAAAAACAATCCTTCGAGCCCGATTTGAACCAGCGACCTATGGATTTCGGCACTCTACATACTACAGTCGACCACTCTACCAACTGAGCTATCGAACGTTTCGTAACATGCAAAATATTATGTAATGTTGAAGAATTCAATCCTTCGCGCGGATTTGAAACAGCGACCTATGGATGTCGGCACTCTACATATTACAGTCCACCGTTCTACCAACTGAGCTATAAAAGGGTTGGAATTACCAAATCAATGTTTCGTAATATGTAGAGAATTATGTGATATTAAAAACATAATTCTTCGAGCCGGATTTGAGCCAGCGACCTATGGATGTCGGCACTCTATATACTACAGTCCTCCGGTCTACCAACTGAGCTATCGAAGTGTTGAAAATTGCAAATAAATGTTTCGTAATATGTAAAAAATTATGTGATATTGAAAACAAAATCCGTCGAACCGGATTTGAACCAACGACCTATGGATGTCGGCACTCTACATACAACAGTCCACCGCTCTACCAACTGAGCTATCGAAGGGTTGAAATTGGGAAATCAATGTTACGTAATATATAAAAAATTATGTGATATTAAAAACATAATTCTTCGACCCCGATTTGAACCAACGAGCTATGAATGTCGGCACTCTACATACTACAGTCCTCCGCTCTACCAACTGAGCTACCGAAGTGTTGAAGTTTGCAAATCAATGTTTCGTAATATGTAAAAAATTATGTGATATTAAAATCTTAACCCTTCGAGCCGGATTTGAACCAGCGACCTATGGATGTCGGCACTCTACATACTACAGTCCACCGCTCTACCAACTGACCTAACTAAGGCTTGAACCTCCCAAATCAATGTTTCGTAATATGTAAAAAATTATGTGATATTAAAAACAAAATCCTTCGAGCCGGACTTGAACTAGCGACCTATGGATGTCGGCACTCTACATACCACAGTCCACCGCTCTACCAACTGACCTATTGAAGGGTTGAAATTACCAAATCAATGTTTCATAATCAACATAATCCTTCATTATGTTTCATAAAAACATAATCCTCCGAGCCCGATTTGAACCAGCGACCTATGGATGTCGGCACTCTACATACTGCAGTCCACCAAACTACCAACTGAGCTATCGAAGGGTAGAAATTACCAAATCAATGTTTCGTAATATTTAAAAAATTATGTGATATTAAAAATACAATCCTACGAGCCGGTTTTGAACCAGCGACTTATGGATGTCAGCCTCACACACTGTACAGTTCACCGCTTTACCAACTGAGCTATCGAATGGTTTAATACACACGCAGAAGAAAATGTTTTGTACTCTGTAAAAAATTATGTGATATTAAAAATAAAATCCTTCGAGCCGAATTTGAACCACCAACCTATGGATGTCGGCACTCTACATACTACAGTCCACCGCTCTACCAACTGACCTATTGAAGGGTTGAAATTACCAAATCAATGTTTCATAATCAACATAATCCTTCATTATGTTTCATAAAAACATAATCCTTCGAGCCAGATTTGAACCAGCGACCTATGGATGTCGCCACTCTACATACTACAGACCTCCGCTCTACCAACTGAGCTATCGAAGTGTTGAAGGTTGCAAATAAATGTTTCGTAATATGTATGTTTAAAATTATGTGATATTGAAAACAAAATCCTTCGAACCGGATTTGAACCAGCGACCTATGGATGTCGGCACTCTACATACTACAGTCAACCGCTCTACCAACTGAGCTATCGAAGGGTTGAATACCATACCAATGTTTCGTAATATTAAAAAATTATGTGATATTAAAAACAAAATCCTTCGACCCAGATATGAACCAGCGACCTATGAATGTCGGCACTCCACATACTACAGTCCTCCGCTCTACCAATTGAGCTATCGAACGTTTCTTAACATGTAAAATATTATGTAATGTTGAAGAATTCAATCCTTCGCGCGGATTTGAACCAGGATTAAATTCACCAACAGTATAAATTTAGAGATGGGTTATAAAAAAATTTGGCAGACTGTGAGAAAGTTTAATAAAAAAGTGGAGAGTCCAAATCAAGAGGCATCAATAAACAACGAATTTGGAGATGAACTATTAGAGTATATGACTCCCGAAATTGTAGTTAACAAAACAAGAGAAACAAATCCTAGAAGTCAGATAGATAGTTTGGTTACTCCAATATGCTTAGAAGAAATAAAAACAATTGAAATAAAAAAATGGATATAACACCAGGAAAAGACCAAATACACTACGAAATGCTATTTAAAATGAATGACACATGGAAAGAATACTTAGTGAAAATATTTAATGACTTTATCGAACGAGCCTATATACCGAGAAGCCTGAAAGAGAGTATAATTGTGCCAATTCTAAAAAAAGGACGGGACACAAGACTAGTAAGCTCATATAGACCCATATGTTTAGAATCTAATATATTAAAACTCTTTGAAAGAATTATGAAAAACAGACTAGAATGGTACCTTGAAAAAAATAATATGATACCTAATTTTCAATTTGGATTCAGAAAAGGAAAAGGAATAAGGGATTATCACAGTGTATTATTCAGTAAAATTCAAATAACGCACACCCAAAACGGATATATGATGTTATTATTAATAGACATCAAAAAAGCCTATGATAACGTGAACCATGACATAATGGAAACTAAAATGAGAGAAATGAACATCAAACCTAAATTCGTGTCATTAATAATGGAGTTATTAAGAAACAGAGAGACTTTTGTCAGATATAACGGGCGTCTATACGGGCCCAGACTAGCCAACATAGAGCTCCCGCAAGGATCAGGATTAAGCCCCATATTCTTCAACCTATATACATATGACCTAAAGGAAGTGGTGAAAGAACCTGTGTGTGCACTGCAATATGCGGACGACATAGCCCTCTATGTAATAGATAAAGATTGGGAGAAATGCAAGGAATACATGAGCAACAGTGTATTACAGTTGGAAGAATGGCTAAAATACAATGGATTGGAATTGGCACACGAAAAATGGGTAGTGATGCAATTTAGTAGGCATAGGAAGTATGATCATATTGGAGACATTCAGCTGGGCAAACACAAGTTTCCAGTTATGGATGAACATAAAATTCTTGGAATAACATATGACAAAAAAATCAAATTTAAGAGCCAGATATTAAACATATGCAGAAAATGTGAGAAGGGGATAAATATATTGAAGACAATTTGCAATATGAAATGGGGAGCGCATCCGGCAATTTGTCTAAACATATATAAAGCATTGATAAGGTGTCATCTAGATACCATTAGCTTTATGAGTAAAAATCTCACCAAACGAGATATAGACAAATTGAATAAAATTCAATACTCAGCCATACGAATTTCATTAGGTGCGCTGAAATCCTCTCCAATAAATACACTATTAGCAGAGTCCGGAGAATTACCTCTAGAATCAAGGTGGGAAATAATATCAAAAAGATATTTAATATCGAAGGTAAGCAGAAACGACGAAATAGTGTTACAAACATTGAATAATGTAAAGGATTTATGTGAGGGAACTACATATTGGAGCAGAAAAGAAAACCCGATCTTAGTGAGTAGCTACCTATGGATAAATAAATATAAACAGTTAATAGCGCAAGATCTAGATTGCCAATTCCGCTATCCTTTGGAATATAAGTGGGTAAACCAAAACAACATAATAATAGATAAAACTACTGACAATCCTTTGATACAAAGAGAAAATATGAACTTTATATTCAAACAGGAAATAAATAAAACACATCCAAATTACACACTTATTTTCACGGATGGATCAAAGAAAGAATGTGCTGGTTGTGCCGTGTATGTACCCCGACTCAATATAGAACAGAAATATAAATTGCCCAAAAGTGCTTCTAGTTTCACTGCCGAGATGACGGCCATCAAAATAGCAATAAATATAATAGAAGAAGAAAAAATTACAAAGAGTGTTATTCTATCTGACTGTAAATCAGCTCTAGAAGCTATAAAAAGAACTTTAGAAAAAGCTAATAAAATAGTATATGAAATAATAGATAAAACTATGAGTCTAAGAAGGAAAGGATTTGACCTAAAATTCATGTGGATAAAGGGACATGCGGGAATAACCGAAAATGAAAAGGCGGACGAGCTGGCCAAAGAGGGATGTTATTTGGGAACCGAAATAAGCAGCCTTCTATCAGCAGATATCAACAAAATAGTCATGAAAGAACAAAGAGAAAAATGGCAAAGTATATTTGACAACATTAGTCAAAGAAAAGGGAAAATATATCGGGAAATAAATTCAGATATGCATTCGAAACCGTGGTTTCAAAAGATAACAGAAAACTGTATGCACATCACTACCGTCATAAGAATGCGAATTGGACACACAAAAAATAGATCATTTCGACTACGAGATGGAATATCGAGGTTCGAAGAGTGCGACTGCGAAGAGGGAGGGCCTGAAAATACGGATCACATTGTTTTTCGATGCAAGAAATATACAACACAAAGAAAAGCGTTTTACCAACGCCTAGAACAAAAAAATATAGTTTTTACAACGAATACGACAATAATATTAGCTATGAAAAACATGAGTATATATAAAGATGTAACCAAATATTTATTTGAGTGCCAAAAATATTTATAGACAACTAAGTTAAGTTATCAATTTAATTAAGCTAGTTATTTAATCTAATTAAAATAATTGAAATTAGAATTTATTATTATTTTAATCACTATTGAAAATGTAAGAACAGATTAAGTTAGTTATTCTATTAGTTAGTTATAAGGGATGACTGTATATTATTAAATAGATGTCAATAAAATCATAAAAAAAAACTGACCTATCGAAAGGTAGAAATTACCAAATCAATGTTTCGTAATATGTAAAAAATTATGTGATATTAAAAACATAATCCTTCGAGCCGGGTTTGAACCACTCTACATACTACAGTCCACCGCTCTACCAACTGAGCTATCGAAGGGTTCAAATTACGAAATCAATGTTTCGTAAGATGTAAAAAATTATGTGATATTAAAAACAAAATCCTTCGACCCGGATTTGAACCAGCGACCGATGGATGTCGGCACTCTACATACTACAGTCCACCGCTTTATCAACTTAGCTATCGAAGGGTTGAAATTACCAAATCAATGTTTCGTAATATATAAAAAATTATGTGATATTAAAAATATAAACCTACGAGCCGGATTTGAACCAGCGACCTATGGATGTCGGCACTCTACATATTACAGACCACCGCTCTATGTGATATTAAAAACATAATCCTTCGAGCCGGGTTTGAACCACTCTACATACTACAGTCCACCGCTCTACCAACTGAGCTATCGAAGGGTTCAAATTACGAAATCAATGTTTCGTAAGATGTAAAAAATTATGTGATATTAAAAACAAAATCCTTCGACCCGGATTTGAACCAGCGACCGATGGATGTCGGCACTCTACATATTACAGTCCACCGTTCTACCAACTGAGCTATAGAAGGGTTGCAATTACCAAATCAATGTTTCGTAATATGTAGAAAATTATGTGATATTAAAAACATAATCCTTCGAGCCGGATTTGAACCAGCGACCTATGGATGTCGGCACTCTACATATTACAGACCACCGCTCTACCAACTGAGCTATCGAAGGGCTGAAACTAGCAAATCAATGTTTCGTAATATGTAAAAAATTATGTGATATTAAAAACATAATCCAGCGAGCCGGATTTGAACCAGCGACCTATGGATGTCGGCACTTTACATACTACAGTCCACCGCTCTACCAACTGAGCTATCGAAGGGTTGAAAGTACGAAATCAATGTTTCGTAATATGTAAAAAATTATGTTATATTAAAAATATAAACCTACGAGCCGGATTTGAACCAGCGACCTATGGATTTCGGCACTCTACATACTACAGTCGACCACTCTACCAGCTGATCTATCGAACGATTCGTAACATGTAAAATATTATGTAATGTTGAAGAATTCAATCCTTGGCGCGGATTTGAACCAGCGACCTATGGATGTCGGCACTCTACATATTACAGTCCACCGTTCTACCAACTGAGCTATAGAAGGGTAGAAATTACAAAATCAATGTTTCGTAATATTTAAAAAGATTATGTGATATTAAAAACACAATCCCACGAGCCGGTTTTGAACCAGCGACCTATGGATGTCGGCGCTCTACATACTACAGTCCTCCACTCTACCAACTGAGCTATCGAAGTGTTGAAGTTTGCAAATCAATGTTTCGTAATATATAAAAAAATATGTGATATGTGATTTGAACGAGCGACCTATGGATGCCGGCACTCTACATACTACAGTCCACCGCTCTACCAACTGACCTAACGAAGGCTTGAACTTACCAAATCAATGTTTCGTAATATGTAAAAAATTATGTGATATTAAAAACATAATCCTTCGAGCACGATTTGAACCAGCGACCTATGGATGTCGGCACTCTACATACTACAATCGACCACACCACCAGCTGAGCTATCGAAGGGTTGAACTTACCAAATCAATGTTTCGCAATATTTTAAAAAATTATGTGATATTAAAAACAAAATCCTTCGAGCCGGATTTGAACCAGCGTAATATGGATGTCGGCACTCGACATACTACAGTCCACCGCTCTACCAACTGACCTAACGAAGGCTTGAACTTACCAAATCAATGTTTCGTAATATGTAAAAAATTATGTGATATTAAAAACATAATTCTTCGAGCCGGATTTGAACCAGCGACCTATGGATGTCGACACTCTACATACTACAGTCCACCGCTCTACCAACTGACCTAACGAAGGCTTGAACTTACCAAATCAATGTTTCGTAATATGTAAAAAATTATGTGATATTAAAAATATAAACCTACGAGCCGGATTTGAACCAGCGATCTATGGATTTCGGCACTCTACATACTACAATCGACCACTCTACCAACTGAGGTATCGAACGTTTCTTAACATGTAAATTATTATGTATTGTTGAAGAATTCAATCCTTCGCGCGGATTTGAACCAGCGACCTATGGATGTCGGCACTCTACTTATTACAGTCCACCGATCTACCAACTGAGCTATAGAGAAATCAATGTTTCGTAATATATAGAAAATTATGTGATAATAAAAACATAATCCTTCGAGCCGGATTTGAACCAGCGACCTATGGATGTCGGCACTCTACATACTACAGTCCACCGCTCTACCAACTGAGCTATCGAAGGGTTGAATTTACCAAATCAATGTTTCGTAATATGTAAAAAATTATGTGATATTAAAACATATTACTTCGAGCCGGATTTGAACCAGAGACCGATGGATGTCGGCACTCTACATACTACAGTCCACCGCTCTATGAACTTAGCTATCGAAGGGTTGAAATTGCCAAATCAATGTTTCGTAATATGTAAACAATTATGTGATATTAAAAACATAATTCTCCGACATAATGAATGTCGGCACTCTACATACTACAGTCCTCCGCTCTACCAACTGAGCTACCGAAGTGCTGAAGTTTGCAAATCAATGTTTCGTAATATCTAAAAAACTATGTGATATTAAAAACGCAATCCCTCGAGCCGGATTTGAACCAGCGACCTATGGATGTTGGCACTATACATACTACAATCGACCACACTACCAGCTGAGCTATCGAAGGGTTGAACTTACCAAATCAATGTTTCGCAATATGTAAAAAATTATGTGTTATTAAAAACAAAATTCTTCGAGCCGGATTTGAACCAGCGACCTATGGATGTCTGCACTCTACATACTACAGTCTACCGCTCTACCAACTGAGCTATAGAAGGGTTGAAATTAGCAAATCAATCTTTCGTAATATGTAAAAAATTATGTGATATTAAAAACATAATTCTTCGACCCCGATTTGAACCAGCGACCACCGCTCTACCAACTGAGGTATCGAAGGGTTGAAATCGGCAAATCAATGTTTCGTAATATGTAAAAAATTATGTGATATTAAAAACATAATCCTTCGAGCCGAATTTGAATCAGCAATCTATGGATGTCGGCACTCTACATACTACAGTCCACCGCTCTACCAACTGACCTATTGAAGGGTTGAAGTTGCCAAATCAATGTTTCATAATCAACATAATCCTTTATTATGTTTCATAAAAACATAATCCTTCGAGCCGGAGTTGAACCAGCAACCTATGGATGTCGCCACTCTACATACTACAGACCTCTACTCTACGAACTGAGCTATCAAAGTATTGAAGTTTGCAAATAAATGTTTCGTAATAAATTTGGTAAAAATTATGTGATATTGAAAACAAAATCCTTAGAACCGGATTTGAACCAACGACCTATGGATGCCGGCACTCTACATACTACAGTCCACCGCTCTACCAACAGAGCTATCGAAGGGCGATTTACAGCAAAAAAATCTGTTCACGCACACGCACAAACACATACACACATACGCACATACGCACATACGCACATACACACAAACACAAACATACCTTTTCCAAATTTGGTCTCATTCGATTCAGAATGGCTTAAAAGAAGAGAAGAGAAAACTTAAAATTAGCGAATCGGATTTTTTTATGAAAACATAAACTTCTCCTTGGGGAAGTTAATGATTCATTCGTGTACCGGGCCATGCTCAATGGCGCAATATTTGCTTCTGGCCCGATTATCGTACGCGGGCTATGCCCGTAATATTTACGTTTTTCCTAGCCATTGTACGCGGGCTAGGTGAAGGTATTAAATTCTAAAATTTTGTGGCGGGCCGCGCTTATAAATAATTTACCATACTTGATATATACCAATAAATATTATAATAATAATATGCAAATAAATCTTAAAAAAATACATTCTAATTAATTTAATAATGCGAGAAAGTTGATACAAATAGGCAAAATTCTATTTGAGAAATGCTTGGCAGGCTGCAGAAAAATAATTAATTACATATACACCATGCCCACTCATTATCAGAGGACACAGCAAACAAATAATCCAGAAATATAGAATAATAATTATAACATACAGATTATTATGTAATTATACATAATAGAACAAAAACTCATACCAAATTTTATTCTTATAAAATGTTTATCGCAATAATTGTAATAACTGATATTTTTAACTTTTCGAAAAAATCTCGGCATCGTATTATAATTTGTTAAGATATTTTATTGGCTTTTACTGAAAGGGCGAAATTACCTTGCAGTTAATAAAATAGCGTTGCATCCGAAATCTTGCTTATATTTCATTTACACACAAATATATAAAGATATATATATATATATATATATATATATATATATATATATATATATATACTACTACTACTATTCATTGTCAGTCGACAAAACACACAAATTATTAAGACACGAACACAAAAATATAATTAAGGAAAATAATACTTGACATCAACCGCCATGAAGGTTAGATTGTTACTGAGTCACAATTGCATATTTACTTTCGTATTGCGCCCTCTATGATTCTGATCCCAAAACTATTCCGATTAGATAACAATTATTGAATTTTAATATCATCTGGTAACAATTCACGCTGTTTCGACCCTATAAATTGGGTCCAAAAACCGAAGTCAAACCATTCAGTGTTTGGAGCTCGTGGGAACAGTTCAATGGTAAGTTT